TCTCTCTCTCTCTCTCTCTCTCTCTCTCTCTCTCTCTCTCTCTCTCTCTCTCTCTGCTCTACACCCCTGATACCGGCAATTCGTCGCCACGTATCCACGCAGAGTTGTCACCCCGCTTGGTTCGAGCATGCAAGCTAGGTTCGCCTGTGCGCCACAGTCCGTCGCGGCACCGCACGTCAACCCCGCATACCCGACACCAGCTCGTCGGATCGCCCAACTCTCGCACCCACTTACCTTTCAAACTTGCTCGTTAGCCGACCCTCACTGATCGCGCTAGCCTCAAAATTCTTAGAGAGAAAACTATTCGCGCTTGCAAAATTTATATCATGCATGCTTGCGCGAAAGGTACGGGATTAAGCCCAGGTGGACAAGAGGAGAAGAGAGGAAGTGCCTACGTCTGCATGGTCAGGCTGCGGCGTGGGGGTCGTAGCCACACTCTACGCATCGATCCGGTCATGCAGGCACTCCGGCCAATTAGAACAGAGTTTGTAAGACGAGGAAGAAACAGGAGGCGGGCAAACACGAGGAAACCAAGAAAGAAGAAGGATACAGTTACAACCGCGCCCGCTAAAAACGACAGTTACACAAGATTAAGGGCGCGATCCAGTCAGAGCCCAGTTCCCAGCGCAGCAAGATGTGCGCAAGCGCGGCGCAACAAAACTCCAAGTACCTAAATTTCTAGCCTAGTAAGTCCTAATCGCAAAAGGAAACTCTGAAAAAGCAGAAGTGAAAGGCATCAATTGAAAATTCAAAAACGATATTCCCGCGCGATGATCGCGGCAAAATTCCCAGTGCTCACAGCAGAACAAGAAAGAAGCTATGGTACAGTTATCTCTCGCGCTCGCCAAGGCGCGGCTACCCAACCGTTGGTTCGGGATTTTCCCGACACGGATCCGACAACTTCTTGCAAAAACAAAAAGAAACGAGGGCATTCATGCAACTAACCCGCCCGACCCTACTTCCCACAGCTCGCCCATTCGAGCCGTCGTCTTTCCCCAAGCAGCTTCGCGCAGAAAGTCGCGCGATCATAGAAAACAGTTCGTCACATCGCGTTGGTGGTTCCAGATGTGTCTTACTTGCCACCCGCCTCGTTCTAGCCAAGTAATCCAGCGGCCGTCCTGCATCGTCAAAGTCCAAGGTTTGTCGGTCAGGCCTTTCAGCCACTCATTGCAAAACAGCAGAGGACTTCTTCTCTGTTGCCCGGGCACCAGAGTCTGGCTGGGAAAAACTCTCACCAGATCTTACTGAAGTACATCCAATACATCCAAGTCGGCGGTAGCGGCTGTTGCTGCTGGTCCTATTGTTGGGGACTGTTGTGGGTCGACCAGGACTTGGACATTATCCAGAAGAGTCCTCGCATGTTAAGTGGAGTGGTGGCTTTGGGAAATTGTCGGATCCTGTGCAAGCCCAGGGACGTCCAGGGCAGCCCTAGTTGTGTCAGCAACTTGACAGTCCACTTTGTTTGGAGGGCTTTGGTTCGGGTGGCCAGGTCAAGGATTCCGAGTCCTATTTTGCTCTTTGGTTGGATGAAGTGTGTCCAAGCGACCTTGGGTATGAAATCTTGCCATGAGGGGTGTCATGTCCATATGTAGGCTGTAGGTTGATGCTTGAGGGTGGTGACCATGTTGGCCTCGGGTGTCCAGATCGTAGCTGCTTACCGTAACATGGAGAAGATGGATGCGTTGAGCACCAATGCCCTTCCGAACACCGACGTATAGATGTTGGACCTCAGGTGTCCAGATCATAGTTATGTATCATAACATGGAGAAGATGGATGCATTGAGCACCAATGCCCTTCCGAACACCGAAGTATAGATGCTGGACCATGTGTCCATCTTGCATAGCATCTTGGTCAGTATTCCTGCGCCATTGCTTAGTCAGGTCCTGTGTCTAACATTGTCTGTAAGCTTAATTCACAAGAACCGCAGGGGTGTCCTTGGATCCTGTCACTCAAATCCATCGGGAGAGGAGGCCAGTGGCATCTGCAGACAGTCTGCTAACCACCAGCCAGTCGTCTTCTACCAATTGACTTTCATTTTGGAGGTGAGATGGAATGCTTGCATGGCATGGGTAAGGGCTTGAAAGGAGGCTTTGGAGGCTTTGATAACTGCTGTGAGGCCGTCTGTGAACAGTAGGGAGGTCGGTAAGTTCACTGCATGTCCAGGTGAGATGGTTCTGCTACCAATCTATGGATGGATGGATCCTTGCACATGAAGGAGGCTATTGCTTCCATTGTAAAGAGGAACATCGGTACTGCCAGGGGGTCTCCTTGGCGAACCGAGTGTGACATCTTGTAGGGGGTGGAAAGGAACCCGTTTGCTTGCACTTGGTCGTGGGCGTCGTTATATAGCACCCCACTCCCAACTGTTCCATGCATTGTTGCGGGAAGGTCTAGTTGACTTGGTCATAAGCCTTTCCGAAGTCGAAAAAGAGGATGACCACATTCAGTTGCTTGTGTCTGATATAGCATGTTGACTCCGCCAACATCATCATGAGGATGAATCTCCCGGGGATTGATCCTTCTTTATCGATGTGAAAGAAGCTGCTGGAGATCCTGTTGTGGCAGTTAGCCAGCAGTTTGGCCAGGACTTTGTACACCACCGGCAGTGGCGTGATCGGTCTTTAGTTTTTGATATCTGCGGGATCTCCTCTTTTCTACAGTGAAGTAACGACTCCTGTGCTTGTGTATTTTCCCAGTCCCTCTTCCCTCTCTACCTTGTTTAGGAAGGACATGTATTCATGTTCGAACACCAGCCAGAAAGTTTGCCAAAACTCCTTCGAGAGCCCATCTCGCCCCGACGTCTTGTTCGGTTGCAGCGATTGCAGTGCCTCCCTGACTTCTCTTGTGTGAGCAATTTGTCCAGCTCCTTGCTCTGCTCGCGTGACATTGTTCTGTCCAGGTGGGCCAGAACTTTATGCCTCGCCTGTGATGAACCACTTCCCGAACCCGTGCCATCTTTCGTACCCCTTCTTTTGCTTGTATCATACCGATCCCCAGAAAAACCCTGTTTCTATTTTTTTTCTTTCTTTTCTGAAGGCTTTTTCGACTTCTGGGATCTGTTTTTCCTTTTTGCAAGTCGGAAAATACATGCGAATTTACGTGCGCCTTAGCGAGCGCACTGGAAATCGGGCTCGATAGTTGGGAATTCCGGGATAAGCGGAACTTCGACGTGTCCTTTTCGAGTGTGTGAATGTTCTTGGGCGCATCGGGGAAAACTCTCGGAATTTTGCGTGAATACGAATAGGCATAGGATTTTTTTTTCCCGCGTCGCTTTTTCGCGCGTGGATATGGTGATTTCAATTTTGAATTAGGAAAGGAGCAAGCCGTAACTGTTTCGGTGCCTTTTTCTTTCTTTTTGTTGACGGCGCCGTGTATGCACAAGCTTTCTCCTCTCTGTCCCCCGCATCCCTCCCTTCCCTTCTCCCTCCTTTTTCTCTCTCCCCGTAACTATTTTCCTTCTCTCTCTCTCTCTCCCGCCTTGCTTGATCATCTGAATCTTGGACCCGTCTTGCGCTACTTCTCGCGCCTTTTCTCTTCTCACCCTCTGGGTCTGGCGCACGACGCCCGGTCGATCCATCGATAACTCCCGCTCGCCAATCAGGAACGCAGATCAATAGGACCTTCCTATTGCATGACGAATCTGATTGGTTGAACCTTGAGTTTCGAGGGATCAACATGGCGTTCGTAGAGCA